GTACCTTTTTAGAATGAGTTCATAGTGATTGATTGACCCCAGATTTTCGGAACCCATCCTTGTCCTCAAAGTAGTTTAAACAGCCTGAGCAAACCGAAACGAAAAGATTCACTACTTACTAGGTATATTAGTATTTCAGAAACCGGAAGAGGGTCCAGAGTTGACCGTGGCGTTGACCGGCCCCGTTTTTATCAGATGAGGGGGCATGCAACCAGCTGTACTAGCTTCCTTCATTTCCAGGGACCTCTCATTCCACCAGGTTTCCCTATCTGGACGCCGGCTATTCTTGAGTTTATATCTAACAGGCTGCTCACTTGAATTGTGCTGTGTCCCAATGGAGTGAAAGTAAGAATAGGGCAACCTAGTGCTTATTCGTTGGGGTTTCAGAAACACCACAGGCCTAGTTCCCTGCCGAGAGTGGCGGTGTTTATCTCGTCCAAATTACTAGAGGAGTCTCTTGAGGATGCGGGACTGTTTGGCCCGCGGTTCAGAAAATTCTCATGGTTACACGAGGAATCTGTTTCTTAGGTCAACCCGGGAAATTTATCGAAATTTTACACCAAACAAAAGCATGGCTCGGAAAAGTCGATAGAACAGAGCCCCACCACAGGGTGCCAATGGCCGTTCCGGCGATTTAACTCCAAATTTGCCCATCAGTAGATGGTCGCCAGGTATCATAGCAGTGTCTACCGCATCTCAATCCAGTACTACTGAAGGAAAATTGGCGATCAGTACAGAGCTAAAGAAGACTATCACCATCGATATTACGGATTGAGCCCAAGCTGAACAGATGAACTGAGATTTCCTACTTGTGCATTGAGACCATCAAGGACTGGGACAGTAACTAAACTCCCTGTGCTGAATAGGAGTACCGTTCATCGAGTGGGTGGATGGTGCACATGCGGAAACCAGAAAGAACGAATACTATTTTGCTCAGTACAGTTACTCTGTAAGTTGTTAAACGACCAGTGCAAAGCCGGCTTTTTAAGAGGATCCAGTCGAATAAGTCTTAGTTGAGGAGCTGAGAGCAGCAGATGGAAAATCACCAGTAGTTCGAAGCCAATAGCGTCCAAATAGAGGTATCGTAAACTTGATTACGGTGCAGGGATGTTGTGTCCGAGATTTTGGAAACGCAGTGAATATCCACCAAAAAGTATCAAGAGTACACACCAGGACGGTATTCAGGCCGATTTGTTTCATGATTCACACAAAACAGGAACAGGAGACCTGAGAAGCGGGAGATGTGATTGATAGCACGCTACTGGTCGTTTCTTTGGATGCAAAACTGACGTGTCTGTGGTTAAGATCTACGGAAGAGTGATCGTCAAATGGTACAGAAAAGGGGAAGACATAATACTGAAGAAAAATGAGGGGCGTCAGCGTTAACCTGCTTCCAAGTATATGCAGTGTATTCAGCAAGTAGGACGACCCGGTTGCTGACAAACAGGCGACCACGTGGCACAAACCTATTGGTTTTCGTACCGTTCATAGTTCTACGTGTGTTTATATATCACCAGGGTGCCATAAACTTGATACGGTGCAGGGATGTTGTGTCCGAGATTTTGGAAACGCAGTGAATATCCACCAAAAAGTATCAAGAGTACACACCAGGACGGTATTCAGGCCGATTTGTTTCATGATTCACACAAAACAGGAACAGGAGACCTGAGAAGCGGGAGATGTGATTGATAGCACGCTACTGGTCGTTTCTTTGGATGCAAAACTGACGTGTCTGTGGTTAAGATCTACGGAAGAGTGATCGTCAAATGGTACAGAAAAGGGGAAGACATAATACTGAAGAAAAATGAGGGGCGTCAGCGTTAACCTGCTTCCAAGTATATGCAGTGTATTCAGCAAGTAGGACGACCCGGTTGCTGACAAACAGGCGACCACGTGGCACAAACCTATTGGTTTTCGTACCGTTCATAGTTCTACGTGTGTTTATATATCACCAGGGTGCCAAAACTCAGAAAGGACTATTCGGGTTCTCAACCAGAGCCCAACTGCAATAATAATGACAATGATAATAGTAATAATATTAAAGCCGTTAAGCTGTAACATCCTCTTGGTGCATAGATGCCATGCCAACCGAAGAAATCACGATGGCTGGATTGGTCGGTCCATTCAAATATTCCTTCAGGACTTCTAAAGATGCAAGCTTACATAAATGTTTTTAAACTTTCTCTGAATGAGCATCACTCTGACTCTAGTGTCTCAGTAAAGTGGCAAGCTTGCACGACAAAGGAAGGCAGCTCGAATTGATGAGAGTTCCATTAGCAGGTGTAACAGTTCTAATAGTCATCCACAACTTCGTTCCGAAGGATAGCCCTTAAAAGTTCCCCATATGTTTGTCACCTATTATTTGACTGGTTTTGTCACTGCCCCATCTAACTTTGCCGTGGTGCAGTGAATCAACTGATTTCAATGTGTTCTTGATCTCAGTTGCGCATCACGACGGCGATAGACTAGTGCCAGTCCCATCCCGATTAGCTCACATACGAATTGCACAGATGAACTGCTGCTTACATCTGCATGGTAGGTGTCCGAAATGAATGGGTCCAACCTATGCACGGATAAACACACGTCACGAAGACAATGGACCATAGCGTAATGTGGCGGTTTGTACGCATCCGTGACCCACTGAGCTATACTGTGGATTACCATGAGGCGTTCATTTTCTCAGACCAGGCTGGCCAATGGTTAGAAGTATGACCAAGTTTCCCGGCCTCCAGGTTCGAACAAGTAAGGCGACTTGTTCTCCGAAAAATGTAACGCACTGACATTTCCGCCAAGCGTAGCCGCATTGCTGTCAGGTTTTTGAGCAAAAAAAGATTCCGTTGGGGACCCTAGTCGATTTCCTGTATAGGCCCGAGCACCTAGACAGTATCGAAACCACGTACAATTATTCTTACGAATAATTATACCATTATGTCGCATCGGCCATCGCATGGTCTCGTCAGCCGGGTCGCTTTACTTGATACATATATCGGGGCGGGTAAGTGAAAACAGGCCACCGCTGACGCCTCTCTTCTTCCACATGACTTTTCTCTCCTTAATCCCCTCCCACCCTTCGTGTAGGCCTATCTGTTTCGACCAACGAGCACAATCGCCTTGCATCGCTCATGTCACACCTGCCTATTAGTCTTTTGACATCCTCAGCTCCTGCAGGCTGTTTATGAGGCGTATAATTATATGGAGCACACTGCGGCGTACAACTATGAACACCAGAACTAAGAATATTTTCAATCCACTTCAGCCGTTACGCGTTATGATCAGCCGGGTCACCTTATTTGCAACTGAAGACATTGCATTTTCACATATTCCCTCTGCCTTACCACACCCCAATTTGAACACGCTCTCCGCAGGTTCCAGCACTAGGACTAACCGCTTTGTTCGTCATGCGTCATGCCCGACCCCACTAACAGCCCTAAACAAACCGAAGCCCGTCTTCAAACACCGAAAGCCAGTTTACTTGACTAGCTTTATTGTTCACCCTCGAGCGGAAGTATCTCCACTTGCTTGGACACTTGTAAATAGTAACATCTGTGCGCTACGTCTGTGGCAACGTCTGTGAACGAATTTTGAGAACCTCAGTTTGATCGCCTTATGTTTATCCTGCTTATTGTCTGATTGTAGCTCTGAATCTGTCGAAGAAAGTTTCAATTAGGCGCCAGGCATTCTCTTACAGCAGGCTAAAAGCTCAGACATCGATGTGTTTCTTAGTTGCGTAAGTGCTCAGGTAGGTGGTTCAAACGCTTCCAATTTGCGGTCACCTTCGGTTGGACAGGTGGGCGCAGAAAACCAGCGCCCACATCAGATGTGCGCCGAACACAAACTTCGTCCCTTTGTAGTAGCCATTTCCGGAACAGAAGAAACTGATCAATAGTGTGGCGCCCACCAACGAAACATACCCGAATCTGAATAGACCACATCACCATCAGTTACCGGTGCTGAAGGTGGATCACTCCCTACTGTTTCTTCTGGAATACCTACATTAAACTCCAAGAAAGTTTTTGTCCGCTACCGCTTTTTAGTTCTACGCAAAATGCGTGCAACTCGCCTAGCCATTGAGAAGTTAGTGAGTCTAGAAACCAGACAGGCCTATCAAAAGAAGCTCTTCCAATGCCCACCGCCTGGTACAAAGTGGAATGTTAAAGATCACTGGAGACAAACGTCCAAAGCGCTACCCCATCCCGGAGCTTCTGTCTGCGGTACAGCCCAGCCAACCTCGTCCAAGCATAGGATCACTGATAGGAGGATGGTTTTGCTGGAGGCCGTGTGGCAACTACAAATTAACTCGACGCATCAGTCGACGGCAGGCGAAACTGAGTGTCCATGAAAATCGGGAAGCCTGGTGGATCCGATAGAACGAAGAAATGGGAGATGCTGGAAATGTCCGCAGGATGTTCCACTTGATTCCTTTGACTGACTCTCGAAGCCCATTATCAGAGAAACTTCCAGGGAGCAAAATGGCTTTCTGATATCTAGCAAAGAACATTTGGACCGCTGTGCACCCTGCTTGGACGTCTACAACGTACAATCGGGACTATCAGCTCTCAACGGAAACGTGGGAGTCTATTTAGCCCAAGAAGCGCTCGAGTGTATACCTCTACCCTAGCGCCATTATCCTCTTAGTACTGACGACCTTCCACTTGCTCTGTTTAAGTACGGTAGTGGATTCTTCAGCCAGAATCTGTCTTGCCTATTGGCGTCCATCTGGGAAAGAGGCCGTCTAAGACCGTTGCGATGAATAGCCAATAGTGATCATCTTCAAAAAGGGTACTCGCGGTGAATGTATTAACCAAAGGGTCGTCATTTTGACTCCCACTGTAACAAAGCTGCTGGCATAATTGATTCTTCGTCGTCTTACGGAAGCAAACGAAACCTTTGGCTGTGAGTATTAGGCGGGATTTCGAAAGGATAGCGGCAGCGTCGATCACAACTTCGCACTCCGTCAGGTATTAAGTCAATGCCATGTGTACATTCGACCCACAACCTTAATGCTCCTTGACTTCAAAAATGCATCCCATTCTATCGATCGATCAGTGCTCTTATACACATTTGTTTCAAATGGGGTACCCCAGAAGTTTCTGGACATAAACCGGTCCCTACATTCACGTACTTTTGAGCGTGCGACAGTGTATAGTGAGGTCTGTAAAAGCTTCCCTACGAAAAAGTGGTATCCGACAAGAAGGTCCGCTATCTCCACTTTGGTTCAGCCTCGTCATCGGTGAAGTGGTGAAGCGGAAGCTGGAAAGTCTTCAAAAATCTGGAGCTTAAATCGCTGTCGGCTAGAGTCTTGTTGACCGTTGAATAAACTGATTACCATCATGCCCTATTTCGACACGCGCCCTCAACCCATAAAGGGCAGAATCATGCTTTAGAACGTGTAGTCTCTGGATATCCCTTTATAACTTAAGGAAAAGCACTGAATGTTGTGGAGAAGTTCGCATAACTTGGTACTCGTATTAGCTCTGACGGAAGTGTCTGATGAAGCAAGCGAACGGATCCAAAATGTACAAATCACTTTTGTTAACTGGGTCATTTGTGGTGTCAAAAAGACATCGCTGAGTCACAAAGGTCACGTGTATGGGACTACAGTAGTGGCTGTATTGCTGTGTTTAATCCATCTTCCAAGACGACGATTAAGGGAGTGAATCGCCGTCCCGTTTTTCCAGCATATAGATTTGCTGACACCTTTTTGACCGGTTGATTGAACCAGCTGAAATAGGGCGCGGCAGTACGCCGCACCGGTTGAAAGCAAACCTGTAGGCATTATTCCATCTCGGATCAATCCAGAGCAGGGTTGCAAAGTGAACTCCTGTCTGAGAAAAAATTCGCCAACAGACCTACCACAAACCCCCCATGCACCCGTACAGTTGAAATGGACTACTGGAACTGAGATCACGACTGAGTCAACCCATAAAAAGACGGCTAGTTTCTGCCAACGTAGACTTGTGCGAATGAGTAATGGCTGTCCTAGTCCGGCTGCGTAAAGTGGTGAATAAGATCGAACAAAAATAACTGCAATAGGAGGTGGAAAACTTGAGTTCAGTTCAGTCTTAATACCACTGGCAGTTCACGGTGCATGTTGTTTGGGATTGTTAAAGCAGTGGGACAAAGCCCTTATGTTTATTGAAACCAGTTATTCTACATACTCGATCATGTTTACGGAGTTGGATTTTAACCCAACAACTTTCAGTTTCCCTCTGAAGCTCAATTAATTGAGCGCGTCAGCGTCTTTAGGGCACCTTTTCACCTCGCATTATTCCGAACCAAAGAGTGCAGGATAAGTTCAGCAGCCTTCCTCAGTTGACGAGCACTATGGAGTCAAAACTAGTGACTCTTCACAGCATGAAAGTTGATGGCATCAAGGAACGAATCCTTAAAGGACAACCGTTGTTGAGTGGAATTCGGGAGAACGACCGTTCAGTGAACGGAAACCTCTTAACAGGGACCATTTCCTTAGTGGGGTATACTGATTCATTAGTTTTACGCCGAATGATGGAATGCACGCACTATTATCAATATAATTAGCTTTTATGCAACCAGTGCCAATCAATATTGCTTTGCCTTGCAGTCTCACACTCAGGCTATAGTGAGGAATTTAACACAAAAAAGTAGGCATTGTCAACACTCAAGTCTAGGTTTAAATAATTTGTTATAGAAACTACTCACCAAAAAAGACAGTGCAAACATCAGATGAAGGACTTTATATTTACCTTGGGAGCAAACTCTCCGAACAAAAGAACAGGACAAATATACGATCGATTTTAGGATACAAAGCAGCTTTATTATTCAGTGATTTTCTGGTTTGGCCGTGCGATGAAACTCACCAGTTAGATCTTATTCCTAGCTTTTCCATGATCCTTGTGGAGAGCCGGGTATTTAGCAATCCCATGAGAGTGGTATTAAAAGATACCAATATAGGGTGGGATATGCTGTTTAATTCCGCTCAACCACTATCTACACCTCTTCTTTAGTCCCCAAAAAAACAGTGGAAGCATACGGATACAGTCACATCACTCCACTGGATTTACGGCCAGCACTTTTTACCAATCATGAAGGTGGGATTTTGGTAGACAGGTTACATTCGTGATCCCATTCTGACTGTCAAAGTAGCTCACCAGTTGCGCCCGTCAGTCAACTCTTATATATGGCTGCACACAGCTTCCGTCAAGCCCAAGTGGTCCGGGTCGGATTAAAAGACAAAGTGCTTTCCTCAAAAGAAGAAAACGACCTGAAACGTAGCTTCCATGCAGATGCAAGTCTTTAGCTTTGTCGACTCGAGCTATTCTTTGGTACACGCGCTTGAATGCTACTGCATCATTGTCAGACCGCTGGTCCGTAAGATTGCTTCAAAATACACAATGAAAAATATGTGTGTGGTAGCTGTCGTACCGTACTACTCACAGCCAGATGGCTGCCCAACTTCTATAAACGTTAGAAAAACATTTCGTGAATATCTCTTACCAACAATGGACGTTGATCATTCGAAGGCGGAGTCCGTGATAGATAGGACCTTAAACTAGATAATAGGGTACACCTCAAGTCCCCGGTAAATCCGGGCATCCAGCTAGAAGCGAAAGCAATCAAGCTTGGTTGTCGCCAATTGACTTTAGTAAAAATCAGTAATGTGAAAAACAATTCAATACTCACCAGCAAGCTTTCACGATAACTGGACGAGAAAACGTTGTGACGATCAAGATCAAATCCCCTGAAAGGAGTTCGCCTCAATGCCTTGGATACTGTAATGCGTACACATGAGATATGTTCTCGAAACCTGGATGACTAGAGATTAAACGTACTCGACGGTAGTACGACTGCCGAAAAGGAGAAGTGGGAACAAAATTCTAGGAATGTGGAACCTCACTGATCATCCGCGATATACTCGCGATGCTCAGTCTAACGAAATCCGATAAGCACTCTACTCAGTGCGGATCCCACAGCTCTTAAAAGATAAGCATGAGTGTCACAGCAGGAGACACTCCGCAGACTGGCTTATTCAAAAGTAGAGGAAAACCCATGATATGTGTAGCACCGTGAATTTGTCACGTTTCTCTGCGGGAGCGCAATTATCGTTCTTGGTCCCAACCTGACAACGGACTACGGCCTACGATCCCTGAAAGTTTCAGCACTACAGAATACAGCTTCGAAAATGGGGATCAACCAGTCTAAGACAAACGATGGCGAGAACTCCCTGTGATGGTCATTTACGGGAAGTTTCATCACGACTGGTTGGATATCAACTTTTGAGGGCGAAGAAGTATTTCAAAGTCCTCCAAACACCCAGCAGCGCGCCTCTAAAAGAGGACCGAATGGTGATAAGGACATTGCTCGTCCCCGGATCGCAGGAAACCACATGACAACATGTGGGGCTGAAAATCATTGCAGCAAAGCAAAACACCAGAACAGTGACTAGTCAACTTTCACTCATATCTATGCTAGTAATGTGAAACTCATCAACCAAGGCACCCTCCCCCTCGCTTCCATAAATGAACGAATGTAGGCAAGTTGAAAAAGCCAACCATCACTCACAATGACAGCCTATATGGCAAAGTTGAAGGCGAATCACATGGAAGTGAGCTTGACACTGATATCGTGATAAGCCTGACCAACACGAAAATGGAAGCATTCGGTCGGGTGACAAGGAGCCACGTAAACAGTGAAACCGGTCGTCAATTGACAGTTGTGATGCACCAGAAAAAAGTGGACAGGATAAGCGAGAGCGGTGAAGAACAGGTTAAATCTGACTGAACGCATGAATATAGATTCCACTGGTACGCACACAGAGGGGATGGATGGGGTCAGAAAAGTGTTAGTGGTTGAATCGATATAGGTATAAAGAGTTACGGTTAAATCGACGATCCATCAGCGGCAGAAACATTACTCGGTTCCATCAATGAATCGTTTGGCTTGGCCCAAGAGGTTTCTTTCCAGATAAACCAAAGGCTAGAAGCCCACAACAAAATGTTCGCGAATCCGAAAATCTGGCAGGAAGAAAAGAATGACTGGGAATTACACACAATGTTTAAAAAGTGTGGAATACCATAATTTTGTGTCTACGCACATCAGAAAAAGTTGTACGTAATCCCCAAAGATTCATTTCCAAACAAAATCTTACGGCAATCTGCTATTGCTCTACCGATACCACAAACTTCACTGACTCCTACAGTACGCCTAATCTTCCTTCGACAATAATCCACAATGATCCCAAAGGCTCTCGAATCCCAAGATAACTCGCTCTCCTTTAAGGTCTCATAAATAGTTCTACGCCTTTATGCAAGTCCCAGATGGGACCCCGACCACAGTTCAATGAACAACTCATAGTAGCCTCAGCCGCTCAGCGCTTGAAACAGCTTTTTTAGTCCACTCTAATATCTCCACCTACTGAGAAAGTCCATTGTGCAAAGTCTTCACTAAAATCATCCTACCGAAGATGAACACCTACCGATACTTTCAATCGGCCAGTTCGCAGGCCCTTTTGAAGCCTGGATCTCGGAATATGTTTCCACCTCTTAGTAGAATCGTTTATTATTCTAATACTGAACGGTCAGAAAAGCGAATACCTAAGTCAATGTGGTATTGGTCTCACATGCAGTGATGCGGTTATTATTCTTCTGAATTTTTCTGCCACGCGCTACCTTACCTCGCTCAGCTGGAGAACCCTTTCAGTGCCCAACTGCCATGCCACCCGAAGGTTGCATGAGGGCTGGGATACTGCCAGGTTGCCCAAGATTACACAGGAGAAGTCGAGAGGCAGAGATCGGGTACGAGCCACGGACCTTCCAGTCAGTAAATTCACGCCCTAAACAGTTGGGTCATCTCGCCCCTGTTACCTTACCCACCGCTGACTTAAGCAGCGGACACAGTTGCGCGGATCAGACGTGCATTTTAAGGCATTTTTACGATACAGACACGTATGTAAGAGGTTCATGATTGTTGCATTTCTCGTAAGCCCCATTGCTTTTGACTCAGTAGAAATAACTGGCAGTAACTAGTTCCGTGGCGTAGATAGTCGTCGGTTTGTTCTATGAGCTGGGAAGTTGCATTGCAAGCGATCACCAGTCAGTAATTCACGCCCTAAACAGTTGGGTCATCTCGCCCCTGTTACCTTACCCACCGCTGACTTAAGCAGCGGACACAGTTGCGCGGATCAGACGTGCATTTTAAGGCATTTTTGCGATACAGACACGTCTGTAAAAGGTTCATGATTGTTGCATTTCTCGTAAGCCCCATTGCTTTTGAATCAGTAGAAATAACTGGCAGTAACTAGTTCCGTGGCGTAGATAGTCGTCGGTTTGTTCTATGAGCTGGGAAGTTGCATTGCAAGCGATCAGCAGCAATCGAGGTAACGCCATCAATGTGTTGCTAGGGACGGTGTGGACCGCGTGGATGATTGTATGGAACGTTTGTAATCAAACTGCCCGACTCAGCGAATATCGACCATATCCGGATGTTTGCATTGACAAAAACAGGTTGTAACCGAGACGTGGTGCGATTCCAAAAGCTCAGCACCACGAGACTTTTTGTCCTTATTGGTATTTACTATACGGACAAAAAGAGAGGATATGTCCTGTTTAGCAGTCGTAGGCCAATTGTCACATGAATACACACCCACCGATCGGGCCGCATGGATGTGGGCATTGAAATGAAGTCCAAAAAGGAAGAAAGGCCCCGTGCCGTTGAATTTCTCGGGAGCCGTCAACATTCCTGACGTTTTAATATTCAATTTAGCATCTGAAACCCTGATATGATCATAGCCTGATAACCGTAAGGCTCTTTGTGGAATCCCGAGAAAGAAACAGTTCACCGGAGTTGTCAGCACCATCATCCCTATCCATCAACGTGAATCACTGCGTCGACAATGACCATGTGGATGTGCTTCCAGGGTAACTACGCCAGTGTTGTGATGTGGAGCGAAGATCTAGGTGCCGTTCAATGTTCAATATTGGCGAAGTGAATGTCGGTGGTTACATGTAGTTGCCACCACTTGAGAAAAAGATTCCTGAACAAGAGTGGTTTGTGGCCGCAACTACGTTAACTCATTACCTGTCCTAAAATATAACAAACGTAAAACAAAGATATGATAAGCATCGGTCGCAACACCTCTGCTTGTGGCAACACAACTTCAGAAAGGAGCTTGAACATCAAAAGGGCGCGAGTAACGTTTGGAATCTATACTACTATTGGTGACGACAGGATGCCAACTTAAGGAGACCGGTACACAACGCGTCAGCCCAAATATTACTGCTATTCGGGCGCGGAAGTTAGTCGTGCACAATCCAGAAAAGCGGCACGAGATCCTAATTTACACGGAGAACATGGGATTAAAATAAGCGATCGGACTATGTAGACTTCGTTGGTCGAGAGAGATAAGATTACAGAGGGACCTATGCATCTAGTCGAAGAGTGTGACAGGTCTGTGTCCCCAGTCACTGAAGGCACACATCAGGCTCCACTTGGGATAAGCGGTTCAAATCTTAAGGTCGTGCCTAAAACGCAACAGAAACAATTAGAGAGACGAGTTACGAGGTTTGCCATGGGTCTGTATAACGTGCACTATAGCATAACGCATAACTCAGTTCACGCCCCGCGAAGTATCGCCGCTTTCTCTCAGAAACATATCAAATCAAAGTAGCCGCCCCTAATTATGATTCCAGTGCAGCTACGCCGGTTGTCAATGGTACTTTGCTCTGCGTGGTTACCATCACTGGGTTATTTTCGAATGAAGTTGTCCAAGCATCTTCTCTTGGATTCACGAAGATTTGTCTGAGTGACAACACTTCAAGGTTCGGTTCTGATGGTCGGTCAGTTCCAACCACTCTCGCTGGCAAGGTTATGCCTCTGAAGTTGGTGAACTTCACCCGCTCATTATATTCGAACACCCGTGTGCGGGGAGCCTTCTTATAGAAATCGGTGCCTGACAAGAATCTCCGTACCCCCCCCCCACTTGTTCATCTTCATCAGTGATGAAATAATGGAAGAAAACTGGAGAATCTTCACGACTACAGTGCTCCAGTCGGTACTGATGACAACCTTGCCGATCTGGAGTGTACGAATAACATGGTCCTCATGTTCAGTTGCGGTGTGTTAGGGTTACCTATAAACCGGCAGCCATCAGACGATATTCGCAATACATCTACAGCGTGCAGAGTGGTCCCTCAGAACGTGCCGTCCGCAAATATGTTGACCCAGTCCAGAATCCTGGCCTTCAAAGGAAAATTGGATCGTAAATATGGAGCCGCCTTTAGTCTCTCTACTCAAGCGTCATCGTGCCGCTGGTCCTGACGACCTTCCGCCTGCTCTTTTTAAGGATCGCAGTTGGCTTCTCAGCTAGTGACTGTCTGGCCTATTTGGGCCTATCTGGGAGAGACTGTTTCAGACAACTGAGGTGAATCGATAGAAGTGCCCATTTTTGAAAAGGGTACTCGCAGCGAGTGTAGTAACCATAGAGGTGTTAGTCTGACTCCAAGACTGCTGGCACCACTGATTCTTCATCGTCTTGCGGTGGTACGCGAAACCTTCACTAGTGAGAATCAAGCGGGATTTCGACGGGGTAGAGGCCACGTTGATCACGTCTTCACACTCCGTCTGGTGTTATAGCGACGCCATATGTACAGAAGACTTTGATTTCAAGAGTGTGCTCGATTATGTTGATTGATCAGTGCCGTTAACTATACTTGCCCAATAGGGTATGCCCCAGAAGTTTGTGAACATAATCCGACCCCCATTTTCGCATACTTCTGGATGGGTGAGTGAGAGTGGAGCTCTTAAAAAGCTTCCCCACAAAAAGTGGTGTCCGACAAGGGAATCCACTTTCTCCATTTTTGTCCAACTTCATCATTGATAAAATAATGAGTCAAACGTTAGAAGGTCTTTAAAACCCCGATATTCAAATTGTTGCTGGCGAGAGCTTTGTCGATCTGAAGTGCGCAAATGACATTGCCCTCATCTTTGAAAACCAAAGCAAAGCACAAGCCCTGTTGAATAAACTTAACACCATCATACCATCATACCACCTTGCGCCTTCAAACTGCAGTCATGCTTCAGAAAGTACAGTCTCCGAATGTATCCCTTACAATTCAAGGAGAATCACTGGACATTGCGTTACACACCTCGGTAGTCGTATTAGCTCTGACGGAAGTGTCTGAAGAAGTCAGTGCAAGAATATCAAGGGCTCAAACCGCGTTTGCTAATTTGCGACACTAGATCTTAAGAGTCGTGCGTACCAGGTTACAGTAAGGGCTGTGTTGCTGTATAGGTGCGAGACATGACCTCTGCGGACAGATGATGTGAAGCGTCTTCAGGTTTACGACCACCGATGCCTCAGAAGCGTGGCTGGTTTTAGATGGCGTCAGGGTGTTAGTAACAAGGTGATTAGAAAATGGGTATTTGGTTGTGCTGAAGATACTTCAATCCGATAAAACATCCAGAACCACCGACTACGATGGCTCGGTCATGTGCTACGCATGCCGAAACATCGTCTACCAAGATGAGTGTTGTTCTCCGTTCCTCCAACAGAGTGGCGCAAACCGCGAGGTGGACAGCGCATGACTTGACAGAAAGGCGTGAAAGAGATCCCGAAGACTTTGGGTGTTGTCGGTGTTGTACGCCTTCCAGGATTGGACTCTTGTGAGCCCACCTGTGCTTGGCTGGAGGCGTAAGAAATGGCGGCTAATCGGTGTCAGTGGCGTTCGTGCTGTCAGTTTCTTCCCAGATTATCTGATTGAGTGGCTGGAGATGTAGGCACCTCAGAATGCCTGACATTGGCTAGCACTAGGTTCCCTCCCTCACCCACACTTCTAATCACTCTCGGGCTTTCAATATATATATATATATATATATATAT